ATTATTAGCTGATATATACTCCGAGTACCCAAAATCGGCCAAAATTTTGACAAAAACGAAAAAATTAAAATTCGATCATTGATCCAAACCCATTTCTAGCTGTCAAAAAAGTCCAAACAAATTTAATTTTTTGCAATGACATTTTTTTACACTTCTAATGAAAAAATGAAATTTTTTGAATATCCGAGTTTAGTGTAATTTTTCGATTAAAAAATGCGAAATCCTTGTTCCGCTTCATTTTGATTTATTTTTTGCCATCGTCTCGCTTCCGTCACCTACTTAATCCCCGTCGCTATCCGATCACGATTTAATTTTTTAATAAGTTAACTTTTTCTTTTGAACATTTATTAATCCTCTCTTCGATATTTTCTCCTCTCCTCTCCTCTTTTCTTCATCCAATTCCGATTTTTATTTCCCAGAATCGGCACACGCACACACACACCGGAAACAAACAATTTCTTCCGGTCACTGATTAAAAATCAATCAAGTTTAATCCGGAAACGGGGCGTTTTCTACTCAAACCACCCTCACCCTCACTCATCATATTTCGCTCTTTCGAATCGTGACATTTCCATTTTCTAAGGGCCACAAAAACAAAACTTCTTAGTTTTTTTCAGGGCCGGCGACTGATTTATTTACGGGGGCCCCCGACAGTGTTTGTTATTTGCAAAGCTGAAGCTGACAAATGCATGATATTGTCACGTTTTAAATGCCATTACAGAATTATCACATTTCTGCATTTTTCAATCAAAAAAATTAAAAAAAAAAGTTACTAGACTTTGGTTGGCAAGACTTGAAATGGAAAAATACGAGTCGCAATACCACTTTGCTACTATGTGTGCTTGCAATCAGCGGTCAAAGCCAACATTGATGTTGATATTAATTACATTAATTCTGTGGAAAGTCCAATTATGACGAAAAAACAGATAAAAGCATCGATTTTTTTTTCCTACGACCCTAACAGAAAGTAAGTTTTTCGATCCTAATTTCAGAAATTTCAGGGGGTAAGAAGTTTACCTCCCTCATCTGTCAAAAATAAACATTTTATCTCCTCCAAGATTGTAGGAAAAATTATCTGTATTACACTGGGACATGAAAACATACATTTTCTTTCCTTTGTAATAAATAATAATACAAATAACTATTTTTGAAAGCATCTGTCACATTTGCCGTGAAAAAAATTAAAACAAAAATTTTATTTTTTCAGAAATCCTGAAAAAAATTATACTTTATGGAAAATAAATTTCATTCAATAATCAAAAATGAATACAATTCTTTTTTTTTCAGTGGATTTCTGATTCACAGTGTTGTCAGATTTGATGATTTTCATGCTAGTCTAGTGTTTTAGTAAAATTTCTTATATCTGGTGATTTTTTGGAAATAAAAAAAACTAGATACTTATTTTTCAATTATTGATGTAGTAAATTAGGTCAAAAATTTAATAATACCATTTTTGTATCTTTTTCGAGCATTTTCCACACTTTTCAACCAAAAATTTGATTATTTCGTCAAGTTTTCTTAAAAAAAATCTTAAACAAAGTCAAAAATGACAATTTACTTTTGGCTTCTTCGAATGTTTTAGTTGGTACATTTTTTAACTAGAAATTTCGTTAAAAACAAGACAAAAATTTTACAAAATAGGTTAAAAAAGTGTGATTTTTGCCTTTTTCGATTGTTTTAAGCACGTTTTTGAAATCAAAAAAAAAATCCAAAAATTTTGTTTAAAAAATTACAAAATTAAATCGGGATTGATATTATTTTTAGCTTGCTTCGCTCGATTTACTACGTTTTTGAACCAGAGACTCATTTATTTTGCAAAATCTTGTCCAAACATAATCAATAATCAGAAAAAAATAGTTTTGATATCATTTTAACTCAAAATTAAGGCAAAAACAAGCCGAAAAACCACAAAATTATGTCGAAAATGCTTTCAAGCACGTTTTTGTACTAAAATGTCAGGTTTTTTGCCAGATTTCGCTATTTAGTAAATTATTTAGCAAAATTTCGGTGAAAACAAGCCAAAAATTGACGAAGATACACTAAAAACAATGTTATATATCCCTTTTTCAAGTATTTAAGCCTTTAGAGGCTAAAAAATTGCAAAATTGAATCGAAATCAATGTTTTTATTAGCTTTTTCCTTCAAATTATTTCGTTTTTAGATCAGACTCAGTTATTTTGCAAAATCTTGCTCAAAAGTTCAAATTTTTGAAGTTCGAAATAAAGAAATTCTAAAGATTTTTAAATTAAAGATTTTAAATCCAAAATTTGATTCTCAGATTTAATTCTGAAGATTCCGGAAATTTGAAAATTCTGTTTCATGCTTTTAAGGATTCTAAGAATCAAAAATTTTTTCTCAAGATTCTACAATTCCAAAATTTTGAAGTATAAAGATTCAGGAAAAAATCTTTTTCGAGTATTTTTCACATTTTTTGACTACAAATTTGATTTTTTAGGCAAATTTTTTCAAAAAATCGAAAAACCACCAAATTGGTTAGAAATTTAACAAAACAGGGTTGAAAATGACAATTTTTTAGCTAGATACAAGCCAAAAATTCAACAAAATAGGCCAAAAACGATGTTATTGTTGGCTTTTTCGAGATAAAAACAAAAAATTCGAATATTTTCGTTTAAAGAACTGCTAAATTAAATCGAAATTGAGGTTTTTCTTTGCTTTTTCCTCTAGAATTATTTCGTTTTTGGACCACAGACTCATTTATTTTGCAATATCTCGCCCAAACACGTCTAGAAATCACAAAAAGGATTGATTTTAAATTTATTTTGCTGTTTTACGCGATTTAACTGTTTTTTTTTCGAAATTTTTTCTCGAGATTTCGCTAACACAAAAGAAATGCAATTTTCTCGCAAAATTGTATTAAAAATAAGACGAAAAATTATGAAAATTAAAATAGAATGAAGCCAAAAGTAAGGTCAATTTTACTTTTTTCGAGAGTTTAACCAAATTTTAAAGCTGAGATTTTGCCATACCGAATGAAAAATCACTAAATTGTAATAAAATTATATTTCAACCTAACTTTTATGGTGAAAACTGGTATAAAACTTGAGTTTAGTAAATTTTATTTTTGAATTGACAACATTTACTTTAATAGATTTTATACAAACATTGACAAAATCGTGGACAGTATTTCAGAAAAACAACAAAATTTTATTAAAATTATACTAAAAAAGGTCCCAATGTGTTATTTTGATTTGTTTACTTTACAATTTACATGTTTTTTTTTCACAAATAGTCAAAAATTGGTTTATTTCGATGTGATCATTTTTCTATAAAAATCGTTTTCTCTTTTGTTTTTTCTCGAGTGTTTCAGCACGTTTTTCGGTGAAAAACACAATGATTTCGAAAAAATTTTGTTAAAAATAAGCCAAAAAATCACAGAATTAGACCAAAAATGCTGTCGTTTTTGCCTTTTTCAAACTGTAAACTCCGATTTTTCTAACAATTTTGTTAAAAATGACAAAATTGTTTGGTGAATTTCATTTTTTGAGCTGGCAACACTGATCACTGTTTTAAGACACTCGACTTCGCTTCGTGCTTCAATATTCAAATTACATACCTGAATAAAAAGCCAGGAAGTGACCAATGCAAGACTGCTATACTGTCCATTGAATCGATAGTGGTAGGCGTAGAAGGAAAAATGGTACAAATAAAAGAACCTGAAACAGAAAACGGAAAAGTCATAAATTATTAGCGTCGCAATTATACGAGAAATATCGCAGAGAGTAGAGAAAACGAGATGTTTACTTTAAAAATGTGTCAATTTTTAAATTATCTTCGAGGAAAAGGGTGAGTCAACAAGATGACGGTCTTTGATGTCGTCTGTGTTTAAAGATACGACCCGGAGGAAAAAAACAAGAACGGACGGTAGCACAAATTGAAGTTTATCGCACACCTGTTATAACACTTGAAGTTGGTATTGATCAGGATGGGTGGTTTGTGCATTATTAACACATTAAAGAGCGACAGCATAGCACTTTTTTTCTACAATCGACAAAAAATTGCATTTGGTTTTTTCATACAAGATGTGTGTATAAATTTTTAAAAATTATTATAGGTGATTGATAAATACATCGCCTGAAATTATTTTCAACTATACAGCATGTTACAATAAAAACTTGTGTTTTTGTGTGTAAAAAATGCTCTATGAAAAATCAAAAACAAAAAATTAATCTACAAAAACAAATATTCCGAAAAAATCTGGAATCTGGACATTCAAGAGGTTTAAATAGAGAAAAATACAACGACCGAAATAAATATTATAAAAAACTAATAATAATAAAAGATACAATTAATTGAAAATCAAGATTTTGAACTTTAAAATAAAAAAAAAATATTTAACACAAAAAATTTTTGAACTAATTTTTTTACAATTGAATCTTAGGACGGAAAAAGAAAAAGTGTCAAAACTGAAAATTAATATACCAGATGAACAGAAAGTATGGAACCAAACGTTTTTTATATAAATATTAAAAATGTGACCTTTCTCAAAAATAAAATTTTTCGAAAATTTTCAGTTCTGATAAAATTTTAATTTTTCAAATGGCAATCAACAATAATTCTTTAATTTTTATTTTTTGGAGGCCAGTTATTCAAAAAAACAGCATGGTTCCATA